AGCTAACTGACCTTACGGATATCCTTGTTGCGCACCTTGCAGATCTGCTGGATATCGGCGGCACTTTGCGAGACATCCTCCAGCGAGTTACCCTCGAGGATCAGCTCATCCTTCTGGGCGGACGAGACCTTGACGTCGACGCCGTGGCGCATGACGACTCTGCGGACCAGCTTCTCGCCAATGAAGTTACGGATCTCGACCTCGTACTGGTCGGTCTCGGAGTTCTTGTCGATGTTGACGTTGATGGGGAAATGGGCGTAGACGTAGCGCATCTTGTACTTGAAGCCCTTGGTGACACCGACGATCAGGTTGTTGATGAGGGTGCGGACGGTACGGAGGGCAGCGACGTTCTTGCGGGCACCGTGGTGGATCTCAATGCCAATGACGTTCTTCTTGGGGTGGGAGAAGTTGACGGCCAAGTGGCTCAGGTCCTTGGTGAGCTTGCCTGTGCGGGACTATGGGTTAGAATCTTCCAAGGCGCTCGCGGGCGGTGGTGCCGGTCGCGGGGAGAGCGGTTGTTCGTACCTCGGGGACCAGTGACGGTGACCTTGCGGGCCTTGATCTGGACGGAGACTGTGGGACACACGAAATGTCAGTAAAAGCGTCTCTCGTTGGCGTGTGGTCCGTCGTGAAGCCAGAGAACTCGCGCCCCTCTCCCTCCTCATCTTCCTGGTGCTCGTCGTCATTGCCGTCGTTGTCGTCGGCTAGCTTGTGCGTGGCTGTCTGCAACAGTGCTTTGTCGGCCTGAGATGGGCGCGTCTCGTCTGCATTCCACCTGAACCCCAATATCCACCCCTCAATGGCGCCGCACGCAGGACTCTGGCTTCTCGTCGTCTGGGGGGAAAATGGGAGGGGGGGCCACGTACCGCCCTCAGGCACCTCCAAGGTCTCCTCGCTGTGAATGTAACGCATCTTGACGGTATTTCCTCGGGTGGGGGAAATGGGCTGGGGATGTCGACCTGGATGCGGAGGAGTCAAAGGTCAGCAAAACGTGCGAGGCGGGCGGGCAGAGGTCGAGGTCGGGGCGAGAGACAGGAGCGCCTCTGATGGCCGCGGGGAGGCAATGGACGGGATCGTGGGATCGTGGGAGCGTGGGAGCGTACCTGGCTGATTGGCGATGCGGTGGTGATGAGGTCGAACTTTTTTCGAGGTTCCACGGCTTTGACCGAATCTCAAATTTTGGCCGGGAGCGAGCTGCGAAATTGTGCGTAGGGTTTTCGGGGCCTCTGGGGCCTCTGAGACCCAGAAAAAACAGCCGACCAATGGGCCGAATTTTTGAGGCGGGGGCGTTGTGGGGCGGGGGCTGTTCTTCTGGCACGAGCCACAGGAGACGGGGAGTGAAAGCCACAGAAGGGGGAAGGAAGGGGAAGGCTGGGCCCGGTGAATGGCGGCCAGCTGCGGGACGACGGCGGCAGCTGCGGTCACTTCACCTGTGGGTTGGTGCTGCAACCAAATCCATCTATGTACCAATCTACCAATCTACCAAGGCAAAGTCCAGCGATGCGGTCCCATCCAATGGGTGGCCCCAATGGACCATGATGGGAGGGGGGCGCTCTACCTTGAGCTCCAAATGGATTGAGTGCCTGGCTTTCGCACTGCAGATTGGCTATCTAGAGAGCTGAATACATGGAGCCATGACACGGGATACAGTCTGCTTCTCGCGGGAAAGCATCCTTTGGTGGTTCGCCGTGGGCCACGTCCGTGATACGTCCATCACACGCTGGATATACTGCCTTGAGCGACGGCGACATCATTGACGTTGGCCCTCCCGAGTCCCGAGATGTTACCGTGTAGTTGGTGAGGCGCGGCATAGTTCCATCTCATTGGGCACTCACCGGGAGCAGGGGTAGATCCCGCTCCAGCTCCAGCTCTAGCTTCGGTCAGCCCAGCCCACCACGCACCCACCCCCAGGCTTCCGCAAACCGCATCCCGCGTCCAGCATCCCGCTATCACCACCACCTCACAAGCAAGCTGCCTGCCCGACCGTAGTTGACTTGCGTAACCACCTGGGCAGTCACTCCCATTGCGTCCGAGTAGCATCCCTCCCACCCCCCCTCCCGCCCAACGACAAGCATCGGACTCGGAGAGAGAGTCAGAGAGTGAGTGAGTGAGTGAGTGAGTGAGGATAGAGAGAAGGGTTTCCTACGCAGTTGCGCAGCCGTTTCGCCCGCAGCCCGACCGACACCATGTCCTACTTCTTCTCCACCCCCGTCGACATCGACATCGTGCTCGAGGATGCCGACGACCGCCAGATGGTCGACGTCAAGCTCGACAAGAACAGGCGCGAGAAGGCCCCCCTCTACATGGACGGCGAGTCCGTCAAGGGCGCCGTCACCATCAGACCCAAGGACGGCAAGCGCCTGGAGCACACCGGCATCAAGGTCCAGTTCATCGGCACCATAGGTACGTGCATCTGCCGTCGTGCTCCGCGACACTGCCAACAACACGGACTGACCTGCCCTGCCTCCGGCCAGAAATGTTCTTCGACCGCGGGAACCATTACGAGTTCCTGACCCTCAACCAGGAGCTCGCCGCCCCCGGCGAGCTGCAGCACCCCCAGACCTTTGACTTCAACTTCAAGAACGTCGAGAAGCAGTACGAGTCCTACAACGGCATCAACGTCAAGCTGCGCTACCTGGTGCGCGTCACCGTCTCGCGCCGCATGGCCGACGTCATCCGCGAGAAGGACATCTGGGTCTACAGCTACCGCATCCCCCCGGAGATGAACAGCAGCATCAAGATGGACGTCGGCATCGAGGACTGCCTGCACATCGAGTTCGAGTACTCCAAGAGCAAGTACCACCTCAAGGACGTCATCGTCGGCCGCATCTACTTCCTGCTCGTCCGCCTCAAGATCAAGCACATGGAGCTCAGCATCATCCGCCGCGAGACCACCGGCGCCGCCCCCAACCAGTACAACGAGAGCGAGACCCTCGTCCGCTTCGAGGTACGTCTTTCTTTCTTTCTTCTGTCTCCCCAACTCACCTCCCTTACGCCAATCGCACCGGGTGGAGAAACACTAGAAACCACAAGCAGCCAAAGGCACTAACATACACTCTCTTTCTTCTCTCTTCAGATCATGGACGGCTCCCCCTCCCGCGGCGAGACCATCCCGATCCGCCTCTTCCTGGGCGGCTTCGACCTCACCCCGACCTTCCGGGACGTCAACAAGAAGTTCTCGACGCGGTACTACCTCAGCCTGGTGCTCATCGACGAGGACGCCCGCCGCTACTTCAAGCAGTCCGAGATCATCCTGTTCCGCCAGGCACCCGAGGCGTCCAACGGACAGCCGCAGATCCTCACCGTGCCCGAACCCATCATGCCGAAGCCGTTACCCGTCGAGGGCTAGAGGTCAGATCACGCAGACGTCCTCGCGTGGATTCGAGCCCTGAACCGAGAGTCGTGAGCGGGCAGAGGGAAGCGGTCGGGGCTTCTGGCTCCCCAAAATATATCTGTACATAGAGTCTTTTCACGGTGCGGGGGTTCTTCTTCGACAGCATAGGGAGGCATGGCGTTCACGGTCTTTGGGGCGGCAACTTGTGGGGGACGCATAGTCTAGTCCAACGTTCACATAATCATTTCCTGTCGCCGTTCCCCATTGCAGTCTCGTAATCGGGTTTCCCATCAAACCCCTTTTCGGACACTAAGTACCGAGTACAGAGGGATCCATAACCACCCTTTGGCAGTGGTCCTTATCCCATGTGGTATCTTACTCATACATTTGTTCTCCTTGGTCTCTATGCGTTCTCTTTTAGTTTTTGCATCGGTTCCTCAGGGTGCAACGGCACCCCTCGCCCCCTGCTCACAAAACTTCCATCTCGTCCCCGGCGTCCATGAACGGCACCTGGTCATTACCAATTGCGGCAATGCGATCCAACTCGGCCTGGTACTCGCGGCGAATGTCTGCCAGCGTTACTACCTTTCTCTTGCCCAAGCCGTTGCCAAAGGAGCCCGATGAGCCGTTCACACCATGACTACTGGCTGGCGGCGCTTCCGTGGCAATCCACGCCTGCTTTTCGTCGACGCAGCTGAGGACGTTGATCAGCATCAAGTACTGCCTGGTGATGACCGTGTCAAGAACGTCGTCCCCGGCGGGCTCGTCGGCATCGGCCCGCTGTCGTAGTTTGTGTATGCGATCGAGAAGTATGGCGGCAGCCCCGCGGTAGTCGTTGCGTTTGATGCGCCATGCGTAGAGGATCTGATGCCACGGCTTGTCTGTCACGATGTCGACTGCGTCGTGGCACCTGTGGGCCAGAATATCATCGACGGCGTTCTCGAGGTTGGGGAAGGGGAGCTCGACAAGCTCCGAATTGTGAAGTCCATCGCACATCTTCTCGATGAGGATGCGGAGCAGGGATCGTTGCAGTGCGCGGTCCGCCATGGTGACCAAGGTCGTGTGTGCCAGATCAAAGTGGGATATGCTGACGGCTCCATGGAACAGTCGACTTTGGACTTCTGTCCGGAATGCCGGCCCATCTTTGGTCTGGCGGTTGACGAACTGCAAGGCGAGCTGAGCAAACTCCACGACGTATGTGTACGCCTTGTGCTTCTCATACAGGGAGACAACATGAGCATAGTATTGTGGCATACCAGCATGCAACAATCGCCACTCTGTATCGTCGAGCAGTCCACTGCTATGCCTGTCAGGGTTCTTCGTTGGCCGACCTGCAGGCCTTGTTAGCTATCGATCTGGAACGTTCTGCGGAGTGGGGATACCTACTCAGACCGTATGCTGCCTTTTTGAAGTATGTGGCCGCAGTCGAGTAGTCTTTGAGACCGAGATGTACACGCCCCTGGACATATGTTGAAAAGGGGTCATGATCGCAGAATGGACCAAGCTCGGCAGCAAGATCCGGCCTGTTCTGATAAAGCAGTGCGCACTGGAAAAGGTGAGGCGGTAACTGAATATCGCTGTCTGTCGCACACACATTCGATGCGATGTCTGTGATGCTCGAAGGCGTCCCCGCCATCTCGCAAGTCCCTAGGAGGTGGCCAACCAGTCCTTCCAAGGCAGTGATTACTTGGCTTTCCTCGGCCGAACGCTTCGTGAGGGCAGGCGAGCCACCTGAAATAGAACCAGACCGGTCTGCCTTTGGAAGCGGCACCAAAAGCTGTGTCTTTGCCAACCATCGTACCAGCTCCAGCCTCTGGAGGCACTTGATGAGATAGCGGTAGACAGTGCCAATGTCCATGCGATGATGGAGCGCGTCCTCGGGTACATCGAATTCGAACTCCATGTGGACAAGAAGAATAAGCTGGCTGAAACAGACGTTCCATTGAAGCTCGACCGTCTCCTGAATAGCTCGGACGGCTATTTTGCGCCCAAAGTCGGTCAGAGGGTATGGGGTTTGGCGTTGAGAGTCGGCAGGAGCATTCATCAAAGAGACGGTTCTACCATACAGTTCCGTGCTGACTGCCGAAAAGTTCTGGCCCAAAGCATCGGTGACTTGAGCACAATCATCGTCAGATGTCTGCCGCCAGAAAGCTGCCTTGTCTGAAAAATATTGAATCCGTTCATCGTCCGTTTTTGTGGAATCTTCAAGTAGCTCACAGCGCAATACTGCGTTGCAAGTTTGGAGCATACTGTGCGAGAATATGTCGACGAAGTTTAGCCCAGTGGAGATGAGCAGTGACACATTCTCGTAGCCCTCCAGGCGAGCACCAGGATTGTGACATATTTGCTCCAGTCGACTGCACTCTCGGATTGACGAGAGGCCGTCTGCGCAAGCCACCCAAGGCTGACCTGAAGTTGGCTCGTAGGACAATGACAGGGCTTCACCGCGCTGCTTGTCCAACTCGACGACGAGCCGGTAAAAGCGGCGCCACTGCATGTCATTGGCAACTCGGAATCCTTCGTAGTTCATCCCTCCAGACGCAGATGAGCTCCTTTCAAGAGAAGATGTCGAGCCGAGAACGGAGCAGATAGACTCTGCCAATCCTTTGCTGGTCCGAGCCGACGAGTCCTTTGCCAAGCCCAAACCTTGCTCATAAATGGTCAAGGCCGTTTCGAGAGTGGCCTTTGTGAACCGGCCAGGAGCCAAGATGAGCTGTAGCCACTTCTCGGTAGCATCTGTAGCGTCACCCGGGCCAGAGGATTGCGCCGTAGGTATCGTGTTGTCGCAGTAAACACCAGTCCACCCATTCTGCCACGCATCATCAACCTCTTCAAAAGTAAAGGCAAGATAATGTACCCTGTAGGTCATGTTGTTCTTCCACAGCACCCATAACCGCGTGCCGTGGGGACCATCATGGGCTACGGTGAAATCGGCCAGTGTCCAGACATCAGAGCCCGCGGGCGGCGGAGGGATGAGCTGGGAATCCTTGAAGAAGGGGTTAATGGCGACGCCGCCTTCGTCGGGGTCGGCCTCGAGCTTCCAGAATTTGAACTCCCCGGCGCCTACAGGCGAATATGTGACGCAAAGACGCTTCCCCTCTGTCTCACCGACGACCTTGATCAGATTGCACTGGGAAGGATCTATGGTCCATTTACCGATTTCTTGGGGGTTCCGTTCAGCATTGAGAATGTCTTGGGTGTGTAGGATCTGTCCGTTCTGCAAGTTCCATATGCGTAAGCGGTGATCCAGGCAAACGGTGAAGAGAAACGAGGCCTCTTGTTGGCCAAGATCCGTCGTGGCCACCGAGGAAGCAGCACTGAGATCCATGTTCACGTTGCCATGCTTGACCGTGTGGCTTCCCTTGAGGAAGCCTCTAAAACTCTGACCCCAGCCCTTGGAGTTATACTGCGTCTCCCTCCAGGGTTGTCGAAAAGCTGGAAGGGGGAGTCAGAATGTGCAGATCAGTGGAGGAGGGTGTAAGATACGAACAGTCATGGCCTCTGTTCCTGTCCAACTTCAGAATACCACCGTCGTGAGTGGTCACGACGAGGAGGTTGTCGTCGGCGGCAATCAGGCGGTGGGCGACCTTGATGCCCAACGCAGCCGAGGAGTGTACTTTGCACAAGTCGGCGATATCGGCTGGCGAAGGCCTGCGGAAGTGCTCGGGCTTCAGGGTGATGGTGAAGAACTGGTTCGACTGGTCGACGACGAAGACGCTGAGTGCGTCATGGTCGGGGGAGTCCGCGAGGGCGACGCACGAGGGGCGTATGGGCTGAGTGAAGCGGAGATTGACAACCAGGTTCGCATCGGGGGATTTCTTGGTCTTGCAGACGTCGATGCAGCGGACGCTCAGCAGGGTGTCGGCGTCCAGGACGCGCCAGAGGAAGCTCCTGGGGGCGGCATGGTGCTTGCGGTGGTAGATGGACGAGGCGACGGCGCAGTTCCTGGAGCGGAACAGCTTCTCGTCCTCGTCGGGCGGGTGCGGTCGTCTCTGGCCTCGGGCTGTCGCACTGCCAGAGGGCAGCTTCACATTGACGATCAGCGCACTCGACGGGGCCTCCAGGTTCAGTCTAGTTTCCTTGTGCAGGTACAAGGGATCTCTAGAGGACATGATGACTCCATGCAGGCCGCGCCGGGGCCGCGCGAGACGTCAGTCGTGGGATGTTGGCGTTTGCGATCGAAGGACGCGGTCTCGTGGATTTCTGCCGACGCGCAAGTTGGGAGGAAGCTGGAGCTGGAGCTTTAAGAGAGCTGGGGATCAAAAGAGTGTGGCCGGCTGGCCGCCTGCCCATGGAACGGACTTGGCAGCTGTTTCGCAGCTTCTCTCCAGCTGGCAGCTCTAAGGCGCGACCAACCAACTGTAGGGAAGGGAACTCAACTCATCCAAAACCAGGTATTGCAAACCTTGGGAGTCTTTTCCTAGGCCGACAAGGAGTATGGAGGAGAACGCAAGGTTCTAGAGCAGGTTCTTTCTTTCTTTTCTTTTCTTTTCCGTTTCCCCCTCCAGGTCATCCACGACAAGTTGCTACTGCGTTCGCTGACATCGGGCCGTGTAGGCACACATGGGTCAGGTAGATAGATCATCAGGAAGTCCGCCAAAAGCTTACAACGAGAAGTTAGTTCAAGTTACGAAGAGAACTTGTACTGACGCGTATATTCAAACAAACGTCAACAGTGCCACTGCTCCACATGGTGAAAGGTATGACATGAGCCAATCGCACGGAAATTCCATATTTGCAACATGCCGGGAGATATGATACAACGACGTGGTCGCCAAACGTCAACAGCAAAACTGTCTAGCAATCCTATATAAAAACGCCAAAGCCATGCAAGTGAAAAATAAAAGAAGTAAAACAAACCGCCCCCGGCTCCTGTCATGTCCGCGTTATCTTCCTGGTCCGCCCTCGGCCCATTACCTGCACCCACCCATCCAGTGACGCCGGCCACGCTCATCCAACCCTGCTGACGCTAGTTGTTCATCTTCTCCATATCCTTGGGAGACGGGTCGCCAATCCCATCCTCGTTGATGGCAAACAGGCAGTCGCTTTCGGGCAAGCAAGGGCTGTCGTAGATCTTGGCGATACGCGTCTCGCCACGGCCCTTCTTCAAGCTGATTCTCGTCGTGCTGGCGTGTGCGATGATGTTGCCACCGATGGGCTTCTTGGGGTCGGGATTGAACATGGAGCTCGGTCCACCGTCAACCTGGGCCACGACCTGGTTCGTGATGACCACTGCGATGCCAAACTCGTCGGCCAGCCGCTGCAAGGTGCGCATGAATTTGGCAAGATGTGTCTGACGAGACGAGAGCTCGCCTCGGCCCAGGAAGTCGGTCCGGTACAGTGCAGTGGCGCTGTCGACGATGAGCAGAGAGAACCTCGTCTCGCACATCATGGCCGATGCCTGGTTCAGGAGCTGCAGCTGGTGATCCGAGTTGTAGGCCCGGGCGTAGGCAACGTTGTCCAGAACCTCCTCGCCCGACAAGCCGTAGCGGTTCGCCACGGCCAGGAGACGGACCGGTCTGAAGGTGCCTTCGGTGTCGATGTAGAGACATTTGCCCTCGCCGCCGCCCATGTCGAACGGCAGCTGACACGTCACGGCAAGGGTGTGGCAGATCTGGCTTTTACCTGTCCGGAACTCACCGAACAACTCGGTGACGGAGCCGGTCTCGACGCCACCGGCCAGGAGAGTGTCGAGGTTCTTGGACCCGGTCGAGATGGAGATGAGCTCACTTCTTCGCTGGTGCATCTCAGTGGCTGTGGTGAAACCCATGGGCACCAATTTGGATGCTTTGGCCAAGATTTCGGGTTAGCACCGCGCACCAACGGGGAAGTATCATCAAAGGGTGACCAGAGGATGACCAGAGGTTGGGACGCCTTTGAAAGGGATGGCTTACCCTCAAAGAGAATCTTGGTTGCCTTCTGTTCCGAGATGCCCTTGACCTGCTCCAACATCCTCTTGGGAGTGTAGGCTATAGACTCGACGGTCTGGAACCCCCCGTCCACAATCAGTTGGATGTCACGCTTGGTGAGGCCTGCAACACCCTGTCCACGCATCGCAGGTCAGTCCGGCTCTGGAACACCAGCTTGGTCAGGGAGCCTACCTCGAGGGCGGACACGGGGGTGGGCGCCCCGGGTCCAGTGACGCCGCTGTCGTCGGCGCCGGCGTCTCCATGCTGCAATTCGTCGTCATACTCCTCGGCCATTCTGGAAAATCGTTGGCGAGGCCTCAGAACAATGACGGCTTCAATCACAAGAACAAGAAAATCCGCCAGGGGAAGAAGACGGGATGTGCAAGGGAGTTTTGTCTTTTTCTTTTTTACGCTGGGCGGCAGAGGTCACAGTCGAGAGGGGACAAGGAGCGCGTCTGACGCGTTGCGGCGGCCCAAGGCTAAGTAGGGAATTAATTAATAAAGCGAGCTGTAGGCAACACACCCCGCTAAGGAAACAGGAACCCGTGCTCGGCGCCTTTGGACTCGCCACGCGCCCGAGCAGCGGTGTCACATGACCTGGAGCCTTGGCTGACTTTTAGACTCCAAGTTCCAATAGTTGCACACGGGTCAGCAGGAGGCCGAGGCAAGTACGACTGGTCAGACCCATCTGTACGGCGGCAGATCGAGTCCAACTTATTATTACTCTGCATGGCCTACGGTAGGTGTCTATAGGCAGGCAGGTAGACACCTACGAAGCACGGGGCTGCTCCAGAGGTGCCATGAGACGGTAGGCAGTCGCCTTTCGTCCATCCAATGCTTTTCGCTTGCTTGCTTGCGCCTGATTGCCCCGTCCTCGATGGCCATTCAACTGTCGCCTGGGCCACAGCCCAGCTCAAGGCGTTTCTCTCGTTGGGGGATGTGTGAAGCAACCACGATGCCAGACAGTGTCAGGTCTTGCCACTCCCAACATGGATGCTCTCAGTTCGGACAGGCAAGGAGATCGGAAGAGCACA